AAAAAAAAAAAAAAAGAAAAGAAAAAAAATTCCCAGCAGGTGGGGTTTCTGTGAGTTCAAGGCCAGCCTGGTCTACATAGTGAGTTCCAGGTTAACCAGAGCTATATGGCAAGACCTTGTCTCAAAAAAATAGGTTGTGCTAGAGAAAGAGACAGACAGAAGTAAATTCTTACTTAAGTAAGTTACACTAAAACTTCAGGCTTACAGAAATAGTTAAACCTGAAAGTTTTAAAAAGACACCAAAAAGCTAATAAACATGCTGACATCCTAAACCTCACCAATAGTTCATTTAAACAAGACGTCACCATTTTACCACTAGGCTGGCAAAAGCCAGGCTGAGTGTGTGTTGTGCTGGCAAGCACATGGGCAGCAGAGCGCTCAGTCCACTGCAGGCTGAGCCAGGTAAAGGAGGACAAGCTCTACCTCCCCACAGGCCGCAGCATCAGATGCCTGCATCCCAGCTGCTCCAGATGACGGCCAGGGAGAAGAGAAAGAGCAAGAGCATTAGTAACAAAATAAGCCCTCGTGTCTCTCTGGAACTCTGTTTTTGTTCTATCATCCCTTTCCTCGCTCATGAAATGGCTAAGTCCTCTTTTAGTTTTGAACTTCTATCACCACAAAAGAAATGGTGACCCATTTCTATATTCTAGTACTCTGAAAGCTTAAGGCAGGAGGAGCTAGCCTCAACTAGATGAATGCCTAGCTACCCTGAGATATAAAAACAAACAAAGGAGTCTCGAGCTGAGGGTGTCACTCACTTGTCAGAGTGCTTCCATGCACGAGGCCCTGGTTTTGACCTTCAGCACTGCATAAACCAACCACAGTACACACCTAAAACCACATCTCTGGGGAGAAGGCAGAGGAAGGGGATCAGAAGTTCATGGCCATTCTCAGCTATTTAACAAGTTTGAGGCCAGCCTAAGATGCATGAAACCCCGTCTCAAACAAACAAGGCAACCCAGTCCTGGCAAGGCTTGGTGATACCTACCTACAGTTGTAACTAAGTGTCAAAGAGTGGCAAGTTACAAACTAGCCTGGCCACCAGAAAACAAAAACAAAACAAAGCAAAAAGTGGGGGAAATAGCTAGCTGGAGGTGGTGGTGTATGCCTGTAACCCCAGTACTCAGGGAGTCAAGAGGCAGGCGGACCACTGTTGAGTTCCAGGCCAGCCTGGTCTGCAAAGTGCGCCCAGGACAGCCAGGGTTTGTTACACAGAAAAACCCTGTCTCAAAAACAAAACCAACCAACCAACCAACCAACCAAAAAAAAACCATCAACAACAATAAACCCACCACCACCACCAACAACAACCACCAAAACAAAACAAAAAACCCAAAACAAAAAACAAACCAACCAAACAATATCCCAAACAAACTAGCCTGGGCAAACTGACAAAATCCAGAAGGTTGGCTGGAAGGAAGAAGGAAGGACCCACATGCAGACCCCTAAATATCACTTTGTATCAGTTTTTAAATCTGGCTAAACCAATAAGGACTTCCATTTTCAGCAACAGTGTATCCGTGGTGGACAATTGTATAGTGCACTGTCTGGCCTGTGCCTCTCTCTCCTCACACGCGGCTTGTCTGTGCAGGCCTCTAGGCTCTACTAAAGTAGCCGTGAAACTTAGGTGCTTAATAGAAACTGCAACTCTTACCTCCCAAGTCTAGGAGAGTCCTGTCCCTTACATCCTCAGCAACCAGAAGGATGCCAGACCTCATGGTTCCCAATCAGGGAAAATCAAGCTGCTGGTGACTCAATTTACATTTTCTGAATGTCTGTGCTTGTCTGTTAGCTAGCTGCTTCTCTTTAATGACGTATCTTTGTTTATTCATATTAGATTTTTCTTGAAATAGTTTTTTTGTTTTTTAAGATTTATTTTTATAGCCAGGGGCCAGCACTTGGGGAGGCAGAGGCACGTGGACCTCTGTGAGTTCGAGGCCAGCCTGGTCTATGGTCTACAAAGAGAGTCCAGAATAACCAAGGCTACACAAAGAAACTCTGTCTTGAAAACAAACAAACAAACAAACAAAAAACCCAAAGGTTTATTTTTATTATTCTCTGTGACTATCTGTATACATGTATACCCATGAAGTTGCCCTTGGAGGCAGAAGAGTGTCAGACGCCCTAGAGTTGGAGTTGTGAACCATCCCTCATGCATGCTGGAACCCAGGCATGGTGTGGAGGTCAGAAGACAACTCTGTGTCTTTCCTTCAGTCTTTATAAAAAGGTCTCTGGGGATTGGTTGGGTTTGCATGGCAAGTGTGGTGCCTGCTGCGCCACCTCACCAGCCTGAGCGCTCACCTTTGACCTTATGCTACAGGTTTCTCTTCCAGTCTTTTATTTTTTTTTTTTAATTGCCTGGTGCATGTTGTCATATAGGGGTTTTG